GAGAAATCACAGAACAGTGTTGACAATACATTTCCGCGCTGAATGATTCTGTGCGCGTGATGTACGCGCTACTGTCTGTAGCCTATGTGTGTGTGTCACAGTGCAGCAGCGCATTAGATTAGAACGGCGATTAACTTACCTGTATAATAAGATGTTTAAAACGTGCATTCTCCCGTTCAATTTCGAGCATCCAGTAACATAATTACATATGTCTTGTGGAGCGCTTTCAGAGCATGCATTTATTTGTCATTTGAACTGTTTGGAAACGGAGCGTAAATGTGGAATTCCTTCAAAGATTTCTTATCCTGTTGCGCCCTCTATAGGACCAGCGACTAGTCGACGTCAAGCTTAAAGCGTCATGGCAGAGCATTGAAGTCGACTAGTCGATTAGTCGGTGCAACCCCTAGTGTAGAGGACTCCTCTCTCTCACTCATTCAGGGCGATATGCAGCCCCCGCTTCAGTGCGGCGACAAGCGCTTCAGTCGCTTACCCACTCACCAGCAGTAAAGCGGCAAGGAGTCACCTGATGCCCCTGCGCGGAAAAGCACGCGAAGGCGAGGAGTCACCTGATGCCCCTGCTTGGAAAGCGCACGAAGGCAAGGAGTCACCTGATGCGGCTGTGCGGAAAAGCTCGCGAAGGCGAGGAGTCACCTGATGCCCCTGCGTGGAAAAGCGCGCAAAGGCGAGGAGTCAACTGATGCCCAGGCGCGCGACTTATCAGCCTTTCAGATTTCGCTGGACTATTACGTCAGTTGTTCACGCCCCTACGAAGTGGTGTTCAACTAAGTCGTATAGCCATTCACAGTCTGTAGTGACAGGCTCAGATGCCGCCGCCCACACTGGTTAAAAAGCTTTCCAGCAGCAGACCACGAGATCGAGGTCTTCTTTGGCGCACGGCTCATCGCAGTGCAGGGACACCAGGCCCGCGACCACTGCTGCCAGGAGCCAGATGTGCGTCGACTCGCGGATGGGGAGCAGTGTGCGAGGGCATGCTGGCTTCAGGGTTGTGGTCAGAACCTCAGCCGTTGGCACATAAACCGCTTGGAGCTGGAAGCAGTGTTCTTAGCTGGCCGCAGCTGGAACAGCGACATGTACTGATTTGCACCGAAAACGTCTGTGGTTTCGTACATAAATCATCAAGGTGGCGTACGATCCAAGACTCAGTACAAGCAGGCAGCGAATATCCTGCTATGGACGGACCGTCACTTTCTCTCCATCAGAGCAGCGCACATCCCCGGTCTCCTGAACCGCGGGGCAGAAATGCTTTTGAGGAAGGGAATTCCTCAAGGAGAGTGGAGGCTGCATCCCGAGTTAGTTCGGATGATTTGGACCTGCTACGGGAGAGCGGAGGTGGATCTGTTCGCCACGAGCGAGAATGCGCACTGCCCGCTGTTCTTCTCCCCAACCCAGAGTTATTGAGCCATCATGTGTGGCTGCTTCCGGGATATCAGAGGAGCTGACCGCCCTGCATTCTCGTGTGCTTGATATGCATTCAGAGGCGCGGGCGCCCTCCACAAGACATTTCTATGCTCTAAAATGGGGTGTGTTTGTGGTGCCGTGATGTTCATATCGACCCGGCTGCTTGCTCCATGTCGAATGTTGTGTTTTCTACAGTACAGGCTTGATAGTGGATGTCTACCATCAACACTGGCCGCTATTGCCTCGTTTCGTGCCCCGCTGGGCGGGCAATCGATCGAGCGCTGGTGGTGAGTGTTCTTAAGGGGGCGAGGAGGTTGCATTCCCTGCATCCGCCTTCAGTTCCGCCCTGGGACCTAGAGGTGGTGTTAAGAGCTCTTTCACAACCACCATTCGAGCCTTTAGCATCCATTGCTATGAAGGAGCTATCTCTCAAACTGCACTTCTTCTTGCCCTCGCTTCGGCTAAGCGCATAGGGGATTTACATGCATTTTCTGTGGACAGCGATTGTATTCGCTTTTGACCCGGTGACTGCAGCGTCACTCTCTGGCCGAGACCGAGCTACGTGCCTAAATCACTATCTACCCCCTTCAGAGCGCAGACTGTTTCGCTCTCTGCCCTGTCTTCTGAGTCACCGACCTTGCGTGAATCGGACGCTCAGATTTCGGTGTGCCCCATCAGGGCTTTGAGGATTTTCATTGACCGTTCGGCCAGCTTTCAGCAATCTGACCAGCTTTTCGTGTGCTACAGTGGTTGTGCGAAGGGCCGGGCCGTGTCAAAAAGGAGGCTTTCACACTGGATTGTGGATGCTAACACAGCTGTTATACGAGCCAAGGTTTGGAATGTCCTTTGCACATTAGGGCCCACTCAACAAGAGCTATCGCCTCCTCCTGGTCGTGGTCGAGAGGTATGTCTATTCAGGATATATGCTTTGCAGCTGGCTGGTCTTCACAGAATACCTTCGCCAGATTTTACAAGCTGAACGCTCAGTCCATAGCCTCCCAAGTGCTGTCGGTGAGTGACTGTTTCACGTTTATGCTACCTCTATTCATGTGTGTTTGCTGCATCACACAGTAATTACTCTGCGCAGCCCTATATGCTATTGTTGCTGTTGTCTGCCCTGTACTCAGTGCAGCTCCTGCTATTCAATGTCTAATTCGATTGGTGTACCATCATCATCTTATGTGTTATACTGCTGCTTAACACCGTTATCTCTGTGCAGCCCCCCCTCACAATACTGTGATTGTTGTTGCTTCTGCCCTGTTTCTCAGCGCAGCATACGTTATCACTGACCAGATATGCAAATTTCGTATAACTGGGCTTTTTCATTGGCTTGTCTCCACCTATCAGCTGCGAGCCCACCTAACAAGCGTCACTATTGGTTGTGGGAATTGTGCGTTCTATCTTCGCTGATGCGTCACTGAACTTGCTACACAAACACAAAAGAACCGCTAGATTTAACTCAGCACAGCCAGCGAAGGATCGAACGTAAATGTTTTGAACGAGCGCACCTTTTTTTAACAACCAAAAAGTTTTGTTGTCTGTTGCGGAAGAACAGACGTTCCTCTCGTTGATAGCAGAGGAGCGGATCCAGCGAGAGCTTGATGGGGCGACGCGGAATGAAAAAGTTTTTTTAGGAGTCGTGGTAGTAGAGGCGGTGCAACTATAACGACATGTGAATAATCCCGCCCACTCCAAAGCAGTACTGAACTGCAGTGGAAACGCAAATCGTGCCGAGCCGAAAGCTCGAGAGGGAACGTCTCCGGTTACTACCGTAACCTCGGTTCCCTGAGAGCGGGAACGAGACATCACGGAGGTCGCCGTGCTCGCTGCTCGACCAGCTAACGGTACATTCACATGGGGCATCAGCGTCGACGCTTGATGGAGGGTGTTTCTGAAGCTTGGTGTTGACGCTACCATCATAGTGACAACAGCCAATCACATTAGTTTTCTGGTGTTGCATGAACGCGATTGGCTAGCATCTGCACCAGGGCATTTGCATAAGGCGATCTGATTGGCTGACCCCTGTGTAGGCACTTGAAAAGTTGAAAAGTTTTCAAATTCTGCTGCAAGCAACGGACCCAACGTGACGCGACGGACCCACAATTCATTTCGGTAACGCTTGACATCACTCCATTCAAAGTAAACGAGAGGCGTTGACGCCCGACGCCCCGTGTGAATGGGGTGTAAGCAGCGTTCAGTATCAGATTCTGACGTAATTGTCGCCTGCACCGCATTTTATACTGCCTCTCAAGCGCGTCAGTATTTGCATGCGATTTGCATACTTCCCGACAATTGGCCAGACATTTGGACTGGCGTGAGCCAATAGGACTTCAGGAAAGGTTGGAAGGGAAGGAGTTCCCATAAGGAGAAATGTCTCCGTGATGTCTCGTTCCCGCTCCCAGGGAACCGAGGTAGTAACCGGAGACGTTTTTTATAATAGTCTCATGCCAGTGATGCTGTATTCTAATGGACATGTAACTGATATATGCGTTAAATGCGCATATATAGTGACCAGGAAAATAAATTAAAAACAGAAAAATATGCTTACCTGACCCAAATTAGTAAAGCCATATTTTGAGGCGAGTTTATCAGCTTCTGCTGGTCCTCCAGGGATCAGAACAGCCCAGTGATTGGTGTAAACGCGAGAAAGCGACGCTTCCCATAGCCAAAAAGTTGACAAAACAAAACCAACCAACAACCGCATATTGCTCGTCGATAATCCAGCTGGTTATCTTTGCGGTAAATGATTCACGCAGGAGCGTTTGCCTCCAAACTCATTAAAACACGAGCCTGTGGATCAGCATCAAACCTTCAGTCCTGGCACGCGATGCATCCAAAACAACCCTGAGTTACTCCCGCATTAATCTCTCTCATTCACAGCGCTGCATCCCTTCTTACCGCTTCGGGAGCTCAAGTTCAACAAACCTGAAATATTGGTTCCGTTTCACGACAGATGGCACGCCAGCCGATTTAAATGTTGTCATGTAAGCCTATGGCAGAGCGAGCGCGCGCTACTATTGAGGTTGGCAGCACGAGCTTATGGCCGGTGTTTGAGCGCGCTGCACTTGGCAAAGTGTTTCAGATAGACGCCAATAAAGGCGTTTTTATCCAGACAAGTGGCGTGCCAGTAACTGTATGAGATGTGCAGATCGTTTCCTTTGAGCTGACATGCAGCTTCACACCTCACAGGTAATTCACTTTTGAACGAGTCTTGCAGTGTGGTCGGTGATGATCCCTAATGATGGCTCACTAAAAGCACAAGTAGGCTATATTTCTAACCGTTTATCAGTCTCTTCTCATGACACCTGTGCAAGACCGTGTCCGTGTCTTATATTACAAACCAAATTGAAAAGACAGAAGAAATTTTATTCAGCTTAATTTTTTTTTACGACTTCTCTCTATTTATTATTATTATTTTTTGTTTATTGATTGAGGCGTAAAATATTACATAGACATATGAGAACTGTATCCAATAGCCCCAAAATTATTTGCAAAAATGTAAATGCATTTGATAATAAAATATAACGTTTTACAAACAAGGTTGAACTGTCGTTGTAAAAGAGCTCTGTGAATATTCTTCAATAATTCTCATTTTATGTTCCACTGCAAAAATAACAGCATAGGTTTGGAGCAACACGGACCCAATATGAGTGTGATTTTCAATTTTTCATTAGTATCTCACTTTTTACACTAGCTCACAAAAAGCATGAATCACAGGTTCACATATATGAATAGAAACCGAATAGATCTCTGTCTCCACATGTGACAGCAGTAGAGGAAATGAAATGATAATTGCATTCAGTCACTGTAATCGTGCTGAGACTGTTCGAAAAAGGACAGGAGCAATGCTCTGAATCTAGAGGAGGTGTTTGAAGAGCTCAGTCGACATCGTCCTGTTTTCAATATTGGGTACAATTTAGCAAAATAGATTGTGGAGCAGAGTACTGGGGGACTCAGTCCTACCTAAAGAGCCATCAGCCTTTTCTCACAAAAGTGTTTTATCAGGTACCATGCCTGACATGCTGTCTCTCCATTATAAAGCTGTACTGCACACAGATTAGATGCACTGCAATGGAAACTGGGAAAAGTTTGCAAATTAATTATCTCGGCAACTCTGCTTCGAAGCGCCGGCCGGGCTAATGGATGAAGCCATGGCACAGTCACAGCAGTATATCTCTCTTCAGATAGGCCTAGGCTTGCACTTTCAGATGTTTATCCCTTCCTCAGCGATGCTTCTGGCTGTTTAAACTCTAGCCGCCGTAGATGGATCAGTGAATCCTTCGCAGCCTGATTAATTCCCCCGCATTGTTTCCTCTCCCATGCAATGGACATCTTTCACATAAAGTGTCAGTCAGCACTGACTGTAACGGTGTAGGGACGCAGTTCGATTGCCCAGGAGAGAGAGCTCAATCACCTGATGCCATGATCCTGTGCATCCCTCTGCATCTCTACTGCGTTTGATCTTCAGAGAGAACACATGAAGAGAGCGATGCTAAGCTCAGGCTTTGGATACTATTTACATTTATGCATTTGGCAGACTCTTTTATCTAAAGCAACACGCATTGCAAATTTATATAATAAATTTTTGGGTGTTATAATTGATCATAAATTATGTTGGAAACCACATATTAACCATGTAAAAACAAAAATGTCCAAATCCATTGCAATATTAAATAGAATAAAACATATTTTGAACGAAAAAACTTTATATATATTGTATTGTGCGCTCATAGTTCCATACATTACTTATTGTGTGGAGGTGTGGGGTCATACTTATAAAACCAATATAAATTCAATATATATTTTACAAAAAAAAGCAATTAGGATTGTTAAAAGGGTTGATTATTACGAACGAACAAACAAATTGTTTATTAATTTACATGCTTTAAAGTTTGTAGATTTAGTTGATTTATGTACATCACAGATAATGTTCAAAGTTTATAATAATTTACTTCCAAATTGTATTCTGAGGCTGTTCAAAATAAGAGAAAGTCAGTATAATCTAAGAGGATTGTATATGTTTAAAAAAGTAAGGGCAAGAACTAATGCAAAAAGTAGGTGTTTATCTGTTAAAGGGGTAAATCTATGGAATACTTGTGATAAGGAATTAAAATTATGTAATTCACTCTGCAAATTCAAGAAAATGTATAAAAATAAGGTGATAAATAATTATATGACTCAGTATCAATAATTGTGAATGTAATGTTACAATATTGAAGTAATAGCTGGAATGTGTATTTTTTGTTATGTTGTTTTGAATTATGTATGTACATTTGGGGTAATGCTTATGTAACATGTTTATCTTGTATTTTTTAGTGAAAAGTGTCGCTCATCAGTCAACTGTGTATAAAGGGTAGGCATAATAAGCAAGGCTTCAGCCTACACCTTTTTCGGTAATTATGTTTATTTATTTATTTTGTGAAAAGTTGTCTGTGAGGACCGAAATAAAATGATTGATTGATTGATTGATTGATATGCAGTTCTGATGAAAATAGAGCACATTGCAAACAAACATATACAGGATCAAAATGTTTGTTTTTTTTTAGACCTGAAAGTAAATGTTTTGTTGTCAGCTGTCAGCTTGAGTGCTGCTGTATTGAGAGCAAAAGATAAACCAAATACTAAGTTATTTTAAAGGGCTAGTTTACCCTCATGCCACCCAAGATGTAGATTTCTTCATCTGAACAGATCAGGAGAAATGTAGCATTGCATCACTTGTTCACTAGTGGGTCCTCTGCAGTGAATGGGTGCCGTCAGAATGAGAGTCCAAAGAGCTGATAAAAACATCACAATAATCCACAAGTAATCCACACCACTCCAGTCCATCAGGTAATGTCTTGTGAAGAAAAAAAAATCCATTGGTGATGGATTTGTTTTTTTTACAAAAATGCAGCTTTTCACCTCTCAAGAACTGATGGACTGGAGTGGTGTGGATTACTTGTGGATTATTGTGATGTTTTTATCAGCTGTTTGGACTCTCATTCTGACGGCACCCATTCACTGCAGAGCATCCATAATGGCCTGAAGGTCAAATTTTCATTTTTTTTTGGATGAACTATTCCTTTAATTAAATTAGAAAAATGCAAAATAGAAACATTTTCACTGATGTTCTCAGACTTTTAGATCCCACTGTAAATCATTTGCATGATGGCTGCAGTTGTAATGCTAAAAGAAAAAATATTTGTCTATGTTATGTCCTTCTTTGTTTTTTATTACCTCGAGCTGATATAACGGCACTGATACAAAGTGAATTCAAAGCCAAGTTCTGTTTCAGAAAATGGTGATATAATTCTCTTTCTACTTCTATCCATACCATCTGTGCCTTCCCTGCGGAGTTAGAAAAAAAAGGCCAGACGCACTCCGTTTACCACTTGTAAATGATCAGAATATCTCTGAGAAACAACACCAGTAGTCTAAATGTAGACGCCATTCGCCAGATTCAGTGTCAACACTGCTACATTTTTACATTTTACCAAACATACAACCATGGCAAATCCAAAAGATCCAACCGTTATGTCTTCCCGTCTCTTCCTTCAATGTAAGATTTGTTTGTTTGCCCATCCACCAGGCAAAAATAATAGGTCTGCGTGCTTGAAAGTAATAGCACACGTCTCTTCAACAAGCTGCAGGATTTGAAGTGGCACAAACAATGCGTGATGAGTTCCACGCTTAAGGTTAGACGAATATGCGCAATAGTAATAGTGATGCTCGCCTCAGCAAACATCACTAATAAAACAATAGACGACCTGAAATGAGATTTTGTTAAGTAGCCAGAGCCCATTTTAAAGGAATATAAACTCTGTAGCGCCCGACTGCATAGCTCTCGTTAAACCTCATAACCTCAGAAGACGTTTATAGGATAACAACGGAGCGCAATCCTCCTTGCAATATTGTTGAGCATTATCTGCGCTGAAAGCTGTGCTTTAAAGGAAAACATTTCACAGTCTGGAATGGATTTATTTCATGGGTATTATGCACGCCTGATCAGCCTCGGTCTTCGTTTGGCCTCCCTGAAAATAGAAACCTAAGTGTCTCGTGAAAAACGGCGTCGTGTCGCGAGAGGTAGTCAGGCGAGCTCATTATTCTTCAAGCCGATCATTTGGCCGAGAGTGACACATCGGCGCGGCTTTTAGCGCTGGCACTCAGCATGTTTTTACTTGATCATCCTGAGCAATGAAGGAGAATAATAAGAGTATTAGGCCATTTGAAGCGTGCTGTCGTGTTCATTCTTAAAGTTAAACTTTATCTCGGAGGGAAAGCACCGCGCTGTCACCTTTACCCAGATGTCCTTTGTGATCTGAAATGAGGCTCGTATGACATTTCATTTACAGTTATTCATTCAGCAGACACTTTTATCCAGAGTGACAAAAAAATGAGGAAAACACAAGCGATCCATCCTAAGGAGGCCATAACATGAGAAATGCTGCAATACACAACGTTACAAAACACAGCGAGTTTCCGACTGTGCATGTTTGTTATAGAGTCTCGTTATAATTTATGACTTAATCCACCATTTTGAGTAGCCTAGGGGTTTTTTTTTGTTTGTGAGCTTTTGCAGTGCATTATGTGATTGTCTTCTTTGCAAAGGATGCCAAATGATGAGTCTTAGAAGGCAGCATAATCTTAATGTCTTCCTTTTAGGGGGAAAAAACCCTTTACATCTGAAGCAGATACTTAAAATGCTAACATGCTCACATGTTTTGGAACAGGATGGTACAGCTAAAGTCAGTTATTTAAAGCGGTCATAGGATGCTACATGCACTTTTACAAGTTGTTTGAACTGAAATGTGTGTTGGCAGCATGTGTACACAACCACCCTATAATGATAAAAATCCACCCAGTGTTTTTTTTTTAATCTGGTTAAATGTTTTCCCCTTTCTCAAATCAAGCCGATCTCAGATGCCTGTCTGTGTGACGAGTGAGCTGTCATCAGTCCGCCATTGTTTCACCGCTGGAGCAGATGTAGACAAGAATGACTCCTAAGCGATTGAGGTGTTCTGTTGTTGGATGTAATAATGAACATAGCAGTCGTCATTTACTCCCGACATCTGAGCCGCTGAAGACGCAGTGGATTATGTTTGTTTTTGAAGGGAATGCGCCTCCAATCTACATAAATGCGTCTATGTTCGTGCGAATCATTCGTGATCCAGCCTCATCTACAG